CTGGAATTTGGAGCTGTCATAACTGGTGATAACTTACGTATGGCCCTTAACTTATCAAAAGCCTCCTGACATTTTTCAGTCGAGTGAAACTTGGTTATCTTGCTCAATACATTTGTCTGGGGTTCAGCAATTACAGAACAATTGGAACATAATCACCGATAGTATCCATCAATACCTAAAAATATCGCATCAGTTGCTTTTTACTAACAGGCACAGTGAATTCAGCGATAGCCTTGACTTTAGTATCAGTAGATTTAACTTGCCCATTTCCCACAATATGTTCTAAAAATATTATACAAACAAGTCAGAACTCAGTTTTGGATAAAATAATTGGCAGACTTGCATTAGTGAGTTTGTCAAAGACTTTCCGAATTGCTCCTAAATGTTTTTTTTTATCGGTATGACATCATCAATGTAAGCATCACAGTTATATTGACCAGAGGTAATCATAATCATTCAAAGTTGAAAAGTACTTGGCTAGCCATTCATCTCAAACGGCATGACTTTATATTGAAAAGTCCATCTAGAGTCACGAGAGCCGAAATTTTCTTTTCACTGACAACTAGTCACCAGCAGGTACTCGAGAGGCCTCCATTATCTCATAAAAATTAAATTGCTAATGAAATAACAGTGGCAACAGTTTCACTAATGGCCCTGTGAAACAAACAGATATCATGATCTTTTTTCTGTTCGACAAGTGATTGCTGTTTGTCACTTTGATTAAAATAAAAAGAATTAGCAGTTAAAAGATCATTATGATCAATAGTCTTTGATTGATCCAAACAAGAAGTGAAAGTGGCCTTATCAAAAGCTTGATCAATGTGTTATTCCTCATCAAGATCATCCTCAAGAGCTTTCTTTGCTATAGCTGTAGTAACTGCACAAGCTGGATATAAATCAGGGAATGATTTTTTAATAGCATCGACTTTCTGATCCAAAGAAGACTTGTCAGTTACAAGTGAATTAACTACAATTTGTCCCCAGTTATCTCATTGCCTAGTTAATAAATGAATATTCTCAGCTGGTAAAGAATATACTGTTCCGACTGTCACGGGTACTGAAACTAAGTCTAATGACAAATTTACACAATGGAAAGGAACAATGACAAAGTCGCACTCTACTCCCTAAATAAGAACACTCTCATTAGAAGAACACTTCTCCAAAAAAATGCAAAGTACCTGATAAAAGACAGAGAAGCTCCTGTATCCCTTAAAGTTTTAATAGGGATAGGATTGGCCAAATCACTCAAGAGTGATGTAGAACTCTTTGGCATGAATGGTTCATAATTCTCCATAATAAAATCAGACTGGAGTTTATTAGACCCAACAAATGTATTGCTTTCAATACATGACCGTGAGCTTGACCTCATAGAAATAAGAGCATTTAGAATAAGTCTGTTTTGATTCTGATGACTATTTTTTATTTTCTAGCAATCAGAAATAACGTGTCCTTTCTTCTTACAAAAGGGACACATAGGTAGAGAAAATTATTGTTGATCAATTTTATCAGAAGCTTTATTTTTAAACTTTGTGCCAGACTGAATTTAGAAGGGCTCGTATTAACCTGAAATACATTTACATTTGCAACAAGACGACAGAAATGAACTCAAGTAGTTTTTATTCAAATATGAGCATTTGTTTCCGGATATTCTTATGAGGACAAACAAAACTATTCATGACGTTGAAATTGTAGATTCAAAACCTGTAAAATAACACCCACACAGGATGAACCCTCTCAAGCAGGAATACTTGAAAAAGAAAATTCGGTACTTGCTGGAGAACTATTTCATAAATCCCAGTAAAAGTGATTTGAGTTCACCGTGCATACTTGTTCCGAAACCCGATAAAACGTTCCGTATGTGCACTGATTATAGGAAGATGAACAGCGTGACAAAAACAGATTCATTTCCCTTACCAAGGATTGATGATTGCATTGATAAAAATGGAAATGCCAAACACGTCACCAAATTTGACCTTCTGAAAAGGATGTTGGCAAATTATACTGACGGAAAGAGCGAAAGAAATTTCGGTGTTTGTGACTCCAGATGGACTAAACCAGTATAAAGTGATGCCGTTTGGGATGAAGGGTCCTCCAAGTACGTTTTAACACTTGATGAATATGATCACGTCCGGTCTAGAGAACTGTGATGCCCATAATGATTACATCATTATCTACAACGACACCTGGAAAGGACATCTAGCCACGATTCAGAAATTCTTTGAAAGAGTCACTGATACTAATTTGACTATCAATTTATCAAAAAGTGAGTTCTGCCGTGCTTGTGTAACTTTCCTAGGATATATTGTGGGACATGGTCAAGTCAAATATGTTAAGAGAAATACGTTTCTATCGACCAAAAGATGTCAGGAAGCTTTCGATAGGTTAAAAGCAATAATCAAACGTGCGCCAGTTCTAACAGCTCCAAATGACAATTAGTCTTTTAAATTGTCTGTGGATGCAAGTGATGTTTGGGTTGGAGCAGAATTAATTCAAGAAGACATTAATGGTATTGGTCACCCAGTGTGCTATTTCTCTATGAAATTAAGTTAGCACCAAAGAAATTACTCAATAATCGAGAAGGAATGTTTAGCTTTAAGGCATTACAACATTTTGAAGTTTACAAAGCTCTGCTCCTTCTTCGCTTGTTGTGTATAGTGATCACAACTACCTTACTTTCATCAACAAGATGAAAAATAAAAATGAAATATTATTAAGGTGGAGTTTGCTTTTGCAAGAGTATAATCTGAACATCAGGCACATCAAAGGAAAAGACAAATTGATTACAAATGCACTTTTCCGTGTATAGAAATATTATTTTACATACTATTTATATCATACATAAGAATTTTCTTATGTAACTTTCTTTACCAAATGTATAATTTACATATGCTAAAAAGAAAGCTTTATTATATAAATCTTTCTTTTTTCTTTATGGAGAAAGTGTTATGTATATGTGATGAAATTGCTTGTGTGTAATTTTTTAAAATTCTTTTTATTTCATTTTTGTTTCATTGTATTTTTTGCAATAAATATTTTTGTCGGATTCTAGATTCTTTTTCAGTAATGAGATATTTATTTTTAACAGTTTGTTTATTTAAGACGAAGAAGTATTACCTGAAAATTATCTTTAAGTTTGTCTTCGGCTAGAAGCATTGTCAACAGGAAGTTAATATGAATTGTCAGTATCAGGGGCATACTTTCTTTGCGTGATCACTGTGTAAACAGCGCTTTTTATGATTCGTTCTTAAGTGGGGACTAATTGGTATAAGTGCTAAAATTAGTGTAGTAAATGAAGCTTTGGGGTTTGAAAAAAGCAATCCTAATATTTTTCGGGCAGAGTCATTCTAACACCTTGAAGGTACAAGGTGTATTATATTGTATTCTTGCCAGATTGTTTGTGCTTCGTCTAATTGTTGGATTTAATAATTTATTCCCCTTGAAATCTCAACAAGATGACTTTTTTTAAAAAAAATATTCTGAACGTTATTCATGGAAATTTATTCTGAAATTATTCGAAAACAAAGACCGTGATTCCAGTAAGGGGGTTTTGTTATTCGTATTTTGGACTGCATCCAACGTCATCATCTTTCATATTTGTACGTCGTCGGGACTCCAACCTGGATTCTAATAAGACTATTTAGTGATAGGAATTGTGATGTCATTCTTAAGATTAAATTTTGCATTATATTCACAAACTGTAAGTCCAGTTTACCAGTTTTTACATCGTTGTTTTGGAAAATAAATTGTTTTGTTGAAAAATATAAATCATACTTGTTGGCTTTCACTCTTTTCTTAGTTACTGAGTACGAGCCCTTGTCACGCAACAAAGGACAAACTTGATTCCTGTTAGAGAGAACGTCGCACTCGCAGACGGTAGACATATGCCGATCAACGGGAAGGGATATTTCTAAATGAACCTATATAGGGTTCGTCGACGACATAAAATGCATGTTGCTGACATTCCGATAGAGAGAATATGTGATTAGATTTTCTCTAGATAAACTTGTGTCGACTCGAAGTTAATAGGATCGTCCTTCCATCGGCAATGATAACTTAACTTGTACCTTTAAAGGAAAAGTATGATGCTCCAGAATAATAGTCGCTGTAACAGAGAACGTCCTAGTGATGCAAGAAATTATTGTTCCAGGACAATTTGACAAGCTGTTGTCTTCTGCAGTGCCTGAAATTGGAGTTATAGAGCAGTATCAGAAGTTTGGAGAGTGCCACGACATCTTATTCTCGAGAACGCTAGTCAGATGTGGGGAAGAGAGTTTGCCAGTACGGATACTGAATTCAACTGCAGATTACCAGATTTTCTATTCTAGGACAAACATAGCTGTCTAGAATACGTCGGAGAAGTCGTCGACTTAGAGGGAACAGCTACAGTTCGTTGTCTTCAAAATAAGGAGTCATACCTTCGGGTACCGACTCATTTAAATGAACTAGTTTAGGCATCAAAAGAATCAATCTCTGAAGAACTGACAGAGAAGCAATGGAGTGTTACGCCTGATATTCCAGTAGCTGCGATACAGAGGTCCTGTGGTAGTGACGAATTCGCACAGGCCCAGAAATCTGACTAGGATATCGCAGATGTAATGAGCTGGGTGGAAAACAGCAAACGGGAAGAAGTTGCCAGATATGGCTTGCTGATGAAAAGCCTCTGGAGTCAGTGAGATCAGCTAGAGATAAAGAACGCTAATCTCTGTCTCAGATGGGAGTCGCACGATGGTCGGAAAATTCACTGTCAATTATTGTTATACGAAAAAAGATAAATAATGTTCTACGTATGGTGCACGATTGGCGATGTGGAGGACACCTTGGCATCATAAGAACTCCTGAGAAGATTAGAAATGAGTATTATTGGGTCGGACTTCAGAAAGATGTGCAATTGTGGTGCCAGAAATGTGAGGCCTGTGCTAAGCGAAAGTCACAAGAACAGAAAATGCGAGCTCCATTGTAGCTGATTGAGTCAGGGGTTCCGATGGAACTCTAGACAGCTCGGGTGGCCTAGTGGTTAAAACGTCCGCCTCGGATGCGGGAGGTCGCGGATTCGAACCCAGTCCGATTCGTACCAAAAACTTTAAAAAATAGTACTAACAGCTGCCTCGCTTGGCGCTCAGCATTAAGAGGTTAGTGTTAGGACTAGTCCGCCTGGTATCAGGATAATGTGACTGGGTGGAACATCATGCCACATGTCTGCGGCATGATGCTCCAGTGTTAGACTGTCACACTTCAGACATCGTAGCTGTCACGAAAGATTATAAATCAATTTCTTCATTAAATACGTGTACTCGGATCTCGTTTCTTGTGTATTGTGTACAACGATACCAGAGGGTAAATGTATATTCTACATTATTTCAAAACAAATGAGTTCGATTCATTATCTGCCGCACGCGTGAAGTGCTTTCGATGGGAAAATCCGAACACTTAAATTCCAAAGACACTAAAATTGCAAAGACGGTGTAGAGATACATTATCTGTGTATAAATACTTCACACTATAATCAGATCGACACATTATGGACCTTTTTTGTCAGTCGGAGGTCCACTTAGAGACCTGCATATCTCCAGCTGTAGAGGTATGTAATTTATTTAAATATATTTTTTCTAAATTATAGCTATTGTTCGGTCATGTTTTTTTTTCGTATTTATGTAGCTTCGACTTGCATAGTATAATGCTATTATTTTGTATTCATATATGTGACTTAGCAAAGTTGTATTTAGTTAAGAACCGTTTAGTGCATTATGAATCCTATGATTCACCAGTTCACTTCTCAACCTGTTTGTTGTTTTGCAATTAAAGACATAATGTATCAATTATAACTAACCTTATAAAACGTCATTACGTGTTACCGTATACACCAGTGTCATTCATAATACACGGTACTGGATGTATTTTTCAGCTGCATGTGTGTGTGTGTTGGTAAATAAATTGTTTTGTTAAAATATACAAAACTTGTTGGCTTTCACTCTTTTCTTAGTTACTGAGTACGAGCCTTTGTGTTTTAGAGCTACTTCAAGCCGTTTCAATTGCTTCGAATATTTCGACGATGTTCGGAGTGATCCATGCTGATCGTTGCTAGTCGGGTTGCAGGTGATCAGGCGTTGCAGACCAGAGTGGTGTGCGATAATTGCTTGTCTGACCTAGGAATCAATGGTGGTCGGTGACTACATATAATATTTGCATATTTGGCCAGTGGAACTGGTAGCAAAGAGTGACGTGAAGGGAGTATATATGTTGCTACATGTAATCTTTTGGCCATGGGCTATGATAGGGGTTTTGTTATACCTAGTGTTTAGAGAGGAAGATATATCTTGTGATATCTGCTTTATTAGCATTTTTTTCACTACTTTGATTGAGTAAAACATTAGTTCACTATTTTGAGTGAGTAAAATAGCAGTTCACTATTTTGATTGAAGACTTCATTTTCATACTTTCATTTTTTGATAGAGCCTAAATCAAACTTTCTTTTATTTTGTCCTAGTACCATATTTGACCATGTTTGCATTTATATTTGTTGCATTAGTAGGTTCGTGCGTATTGTGTTAATTCGTCCAATATTCGCACCCATACACGCACGTATCAGTAATATTTATTTTATTTTAATCATACATCATTAAATATTGTATTTGCATTACTAGCAATAGTGTTTGCTGGTAATCTGGAAATCCAAAACTTGGTTATCATGTTACAGTAGTGATATGACTGAAATTTTTTTAAAGCTACGTAAAAAATCTAAATCACTCACTCACCCGATGGAACACATAGCTGTTGACATCTTAGGGCCACTTCCGAAGACCAATAATGAAAATGTTTATATTCTCGTGATTGCAGACTACTTTGCAAAATGGACTGAGATATTCCCCCAATGCCTTGTCAGGAAGTTACAGTTGTCGCAAAACTGATAGTATAGGGAGTCGTCACACGTTTTGGTGTGCCACGACAGATTTACACGGATTTAGGCCGACAGTTTGAGAGTGAGCTCCTTCGTAAAATATGTCGACTCTTTGGAATCGAGAAAACTAGGTCCAGTCCATACCATGCACAAGGCGATGGCATGATGCAAAGGATGAACCGAACGCAGAGCATGCTATCTGTTTTTGTCGAAGAACGACAAAGAGACTGGGATGAGCACCTCCCATATTCAGTGAAGGCATACCGCTGTGCATCCTCAGGTTTTACTCCCAATTTTATGATGATGGGAAGGGAGGCAGACTTACCGTTAGGCGTTGTTTTTGGAAAGCCACCTAATCAACGTTACAGCGTTACACCTTTTCTCCTCCGCCTCCTACTGCTGATACTATTACCTACTACTACTACTGCTGCTGCTGTTACTACTACTACTATTACTACTACTACTACTACCACTACTACTGCATTACAACTATTATGACAAATTTAATCAGCTGTTCATGGTACCGGTTCACATTACAGTACAATATAATGGTGGAACAGATGGCACAATGAACAATATGACTACTTCTACTACGACTACCGATGATGCGAATAATATGATTTTATGATGATAGGAAGGGAGGCAGACTTACCGTTAGGCGTTGTTTTTGGAAAACCACCAGATCAACGTTACAGCGTTACACCTTTCCTCCTCTCCCCCTGCGGGTTCGGGGTTGTAGAATTGGCCCGACGTGCCTCGCTACGTGTCGTAAAAGGCGACTAAGTAGAGGCAACCTGTTTGCCGTGGGTTGCGACCCGTAACGGAGGAGGAAAGGATCCTGGTAGTTGCAACACACTACTTTGGCCTCTACTTCTCCTAAGACGGGTGGTTGAGATGGGCCCAATCTCGACAAATCGGCTGGTCACGCCGAGCCCTAGGAAGTCTTTATTAACTCTGTCATCTCCTTTTACTTTATTTTACTTTATTCTTGTATCTCGCTTGATACCACCGTTGCCCCTATATTCTATTGCTATATCTTTTCCTTTCTTAAATCTTAGAAGACTTCCTAGAAGGCGGTGGCTTAACGGGTCAATCGGGGGGTAATTTTACTAACCTTCGAAATTGGCGACTTCAGGGTCAACTAAAGGTAATTTTACCAACTGAGTATCGTATTTGTGTATCCCTGGCACTTGAAAAGTGTCCCCTTGTTGGGCTCCTTGGTGGGTGGGGAGCACTGGTGCTGAATTTTTCAAACTGCCATCATGGAGAATTCAAAAAAAAACCTCCAAAAACGAACCAAACCAGGATCTGACACAGATGATGAACCATGTGGCGTGGATTCATTTCCACGCTTCATGGTAATACAATCAAAAGATGCCACAAAAGCACTTACTACACTTTCTTTTTTCGTTATAGAAAAGACAATAACCGGATTGATTGGATCGCCAAAAAGTGTTAAAAAGTTGAAATCGGGTTGTCTACTTGTTGAATGTCAGCGACGAGGTCAAACAGAAAACCTCAAAAAAATAAAAACATTCTTCGATATTCCAGCGTCGTCGTTCGCCCACACAGCATTGAATACCTCCAAAGGTGTTACTCGCTGTCGTGACTTGGCTGGAGTCACCGACACAGATATCATTGAAGGAATGAAAAATGAAGGTGTCACTGCAGTCCGCAGAATACGTATCAAACGTAACAACAATCTGCAGGACACCAACACCATTATACTCACCTTCAATAAACCAACAGTACCCAAAGTGGTCAAAGTTGGTTTTTTGCAAGTGAAGGTTGACGTATATATCCCCAACCCACTTCGATGCTACAAGTGTCAAAAATATGGACACCATGAAATCCGCTGTTCAAGAAACCAAATATGTGGTCGATGCGGAGACAACTCTCACCAGGAATCGGAATGCAAAACAACTCCACATTGTATCAACTGTGGAAAAGAACACCACGCCAATTCCAAGGATTGCGATACCTGGAAACAAGAGAAGGAAATTCAGAGGATCAAATATACTTCCAACATTCCCTACCCAGAGGCTAGAAAGCTAGTACAGTCAAAAACATCTCTTTCTGGCCCATCCTTCTCTACTATAGTGAAAAACAATCCAAAGACATCGAAGGACGCTCAAACTCAAACAGATATACCCTATTCAACATTAAAACATAACACCCCACATTACCAAGCACAAAAAACCACGGCATCTACCCAAACGACCTTTAATAACAATCAGCAAACTAAGTCACCAAAGAAAAGCAAATCCCATGGAAATAGACAACAAAAGGGGTCAGATGACCCCATCAAACTATTCAATAGGTTTGGGGACATTGAGAAGATACTGCTCCGTGTTCTCAAGGTAGCTCAAAACCTAACAAAAGAATCACATCCGTACTTCCCCTCAGATAAATAACCCTATAGATGTTCCCCTCGAAAAGTCTAACCTAAATCCAAAACATCCATTCTAAATTTATAATGAAAAGCACAATAATACAATGGAACTGTCGAGGACTTAAAGCTAATTACAATGAGATTCTTCTGCTTTTAAATAAATATGATCCAGCTTTGTTATGTCTTCAGGAAACCTTTTTAAAAGATACGGACAATATCACATTCAAAAACTACTCCCTGTTTAACACATACCTACAAAACGTTGACAGGGCCTCAGGGGGGGGGGTGTCTATTGCTGTGAACAATAGAGCCCCACATATAAAACATCCCTTTAAATACAAATCTACAAGCCATTGCTGTAAGTGTCACTCTACATCGGGTGATTACATTTTGTTCTGTCTACATACCACAAAATACTAAATTATCACCAAACGAATTAGACATACTTGTTCAACAACTTCCCACGCCATTTGTTTTACTTGGTGATTTTAATGCCCATAACATTTTATGGGGATCGAAATACATAAGTGACAGAGGGAAAAAAGTTGAAGAATTTGTTGCTAGATACGACTTGTGTCTATTTAATAACAAGTCTCCGACTTATCAGCACCCAGGAACGGGCACATACACTTGCATTGACTTAACAATATGTACTCCTTCACTTCTGTTGGATTTTAATTGGAAGGTCGCTGATGACCTTCATAGCAGTGATCATTTTCCAATATATCTTAAGAACACCAATACCAAAATTGATGACACAATTCCACAGTGGAACTTAAAGA